TTTCAAGTTATACCTTAATGTTTCACTTGGAATAGTTGTTCCTTCTATGGCTACCCCTTAATGCTTTCATCAGAATGATAGCATCATCCTCATTAACAACAACTCACTCTTTGACAGTGACTACAGCGCACTCTGGTATGGTTCTAAGTAGTAGTTTTCTGTTATTAACTCCTTTAATTTTTCCTCCCATTTTACAGAGGCATAAACTGAATCACAGAGAGAGGTTACGTCATTTCTCTAAGGTCATAATTGTTAGCAAATAGCGGAACCAGGATTTGAACCCAAGTAGTCTAGCTCTAGTGATTACTAATTTAATTATACTGCTTCAAAAGAGTATACTATATAAACATAGATATTCTGAACATTATAAACACATAAGTTTATATCAAAAAGATTAAAATCTTTCATTCAAGTTCTTTTCAAAAGGCTTCTAACAGTCTCTTATCTAGACTTCTGAAATAGATACCAGACACTTCCTTGCCTCCAGTCTCTCACAATCAGAATCTATGTTTCACAAACCATCACCTGATCTACAAAAAAGTTATTTCCCCCTTAAAAAATATTTTAGAGAAATGGAATACCTTCTGAAATTATTATAAACTCCTTGGCTATGCATCTGGGGCTACTGAGATACAGACAAAAGCCAACCAACTGAATATACTGAAAATAGCACTGGAGTATGCATAGGTCACGGCTTAGCCTCAGCTCTGAAAACAACTTTTTTTTTTTTGACACAGGGTTTCACTCTGTCACCCAGGCTGGAGTGCAGTGGCACAATCACAGCTTACTGCCACCTCAACCTCCCAGGTCCAAGTAATCCTCCCACTTCAGCCTCTTGAGCAGCTGAGACTACAGGTGCTTGCTACCACACTCAGCTAATTTCTTCTTTTTTTTTTTTTTTAAATAAAAACGGGGTCTCACAATGTTGCCTAGGCTGGTCTTGAACTAGGTTTGTCTTGAATTAATACTTCATTACAAGACAACGACATTTAAGTATATGTTAGGTTGAACCATATGAAATTTTTACCTACAAAAATGGCAATTTCATATGATTCAATCCAACATTTTGCTAACTGATGTATTGTCTATCTTCCTTCCCCCTCCAACTGTGGAATGAGCCCA